TATATATATATAGCTATAGTTCTATTTCTTCAAGCACCCTTCTGTCTCTCACGGTGTCAAAATCCCACATCCAGAAGATCTGTTAGGAGGCTTGGTATTAAAAAATAGATGTTATCCCTTTCCACGATATAAGTGGTATAGCTGCCACTCTACCTATTAATGTATAGGCACAATAATGTTCTTCCATAGCCAGGTTTAAGTCGTGGGTGGGTGTACAGGACGTTCCTTCTCGCGTGGATATTTCTGTGCGATAATACCAACGCCTGTTTTCACCCTTCCTCCCCCCCCCCCCCCAGTGGCTGGGCATCTTCAGAAAGATTTTAAATTCAAAGCCAACTAATATCGCAGGTTTCCTCCCTTAGGATGCAGCGGTCACCAGCACATTTCTCTTTAGATCTTTTCTCCAAATCTAGACGTTAAGTGTAGCGCGGTGTGAATTTCCGAGCATCCAAAGTCCATAATGGGGCGCAAGGCAACTTCCTCGAAGCACACCTGATTGAATCCCCCGGGGCGTCTAATCTAAGGGCCCAGCTTGGCCCCTAATATCTCCTGCTCTCCCTCCCTGGCTTAGGGCGGGAGACAGTTTTCTTTTGGGTTCCTCTCCCCCCCGATGGGTCTAGAGTCCCTTTTACAACTGCGCCCACCTTTCTTGCAGATACACGTCTTTATCTATAGACCCAGCCGTTTCGTCTCTCAGTCGGCTGTCAAGGCTACCTCTATAGATATTCAGGCACCTATAGATGCTAATGCGTTTTCCCCCCACAAACGGTGAACTCTCGCACCCGGGTTTCTTCTCCTCTTCCTCTCCCCCCCCTCCACTTCCCCGCCACAGGAGTTTAATGTTCAGGGGCAAAACCTGCAGGGAGAAATTCTCGCTCCCCCCCCCACCCTCTCGCGCATCTCCGTTTTCTTTCCCCAGCAAAAGTGGTGGGAGCCGCATTCCTGGTCCCCTCTCTCCCCCTCCTCCCCTCTGGAGGTTCTTCTCCAGCTCGGAGAAGGGGAGGGGGAGGGAAGGACACCTTCTGCTCCTGTCACCGAGAAACAAGTCATTGCAAAGGTAATCCTTGCCTGGTATTAAACACTCGCTACTTTGGGGCTGTGTGAAAGCGGAAGGGGAGAGGGGGGGGGGGAAGCAGTCAAGTGGAGCTTCCCCGCCAATTGCCCCCTCCTTCCTCGCAGTCTCGAAGGCACCACAGTGATCAAAGCTTCGCCATCTCATCAGTGCGGCCCGAAGACAAAGCCACCAGCTCTTGCAATAATAGTATGATTAGTATAAGTTATTATTGTTGATGTTGTGATTTCTCCGGTTCCAGCAGCTCTACCTCTGGCTGATCCTCATTGGAGAATCAGATTCAAGATCTCTTTGTTAGATTAAGAAAAGGCCTCCTTAGTCTTTCTGGAATCCCCCCCCCCCAAAAAAAAGGGCAACTGCGGAAAGAGGAAAGGAAAAGGGAGGAAGTATCAGCAGTGGAGTCTAGAGAAACTTGAGGAGCCCCCGTTTGGACGCATCGACATAACTCCAAACCAGCTTAGTTCAACTGGAGAGAAGAAAGGAGGGGTGAAATTTAGCAGGTTCTGACAGATTCTGGAGAACCGGTAGCAGAAATTTTGAGTAGTTTGGAGAACTGGCAAATACCACCTCTGGCTGGCCCCAGAGTGGGGAGGAAATGGAGATTTTGCAGTATCCTTCCCCTGCCACGCCCACCAAGCCACGCCCACAAAATCGGTAGTTACAAAAAGAATTGAATTTCACCCCTGGAAGAAAGGATAGAGCACTGGTTGTCTCCCCTCGAAAAATAACTAGCCCTAGGAAGCCAAACCAAAATTAACCCTAGGAGCTCCATGGAGACAAAGGTTGGGAGAGTAAAGAAGGAAGGACTCTCTCTATCCCAAGGGAGTTAGAGCTTTGCCATACAAGTAGTCCTCGACTTACAACAGTTCGTTTACTGACCCTTCAAAGTTACAAGGGCACTGGAAAAAGTGACTTAGGACCATTTTTTTACAGTTACGAACTTTGTAGCACCCCCATGGTCACGTGTGATCAAATTTAGGCGCTTGGCAATTGGTTTCTATTTATGGAGGACGCTATGCTCTTTTGCACCCTTTCAATAAGCAAAGTTCATGGGGAAGCCAGATTGCCTTAACACCCAGATTACCGATTTACCGGACCGCAGTGATTCAATTAAGAACGGTGGCAAGAAAAGCAGTAAAAACAGGCCAAAGCTCACTTCACAAATGTTTCACTTAAGAGCAGACACGTTGGACTCCATCGTGGTCGTAAGTCGAGGACTACCTGCGCACAGGGGCCGTTTCCAGAGGGAAAATCTCTCCTTCAAAACCGCTGGCATCCCTGTCCGGTGCAAGTCCTATCCCCCTCGAGCTCAGCGGTTCGATTCGGGACAAAAATCGTTCCCCGAGTCTCTCTTTCCCTCCAAGGCCGCTGTCCAAGTTTCAAGAGCCGACGGTGGGGGAGAGTGGGAGAGGCGGACGGGGCACTGCTAGTAGTGGCTTAAAAGTGTTTGCGCGGAGGTGTGTTTGGAGGTGTGTTTGGGCATCTGTGGGGAGCCGAGGGTCTCTAAGGCCCCCCAAGTCCAGCAGTCCAATTCTTTTCCCTGCAAAGCCCCCCCACCCATCCCTGAAAAAGAAGACGTTGCCGAGGGTGCCTATCCCCCCTCCCCCCTCCTCTTCGAAATGAAGACCGCATCTTCTCCCCACACACACACAACCCCACCCCGCGCTAATTGAATTAGCCTATTGAGAGGACTGTCAGGTACAATGACGCGAGATCCCCGTGCATTTCACAGGGTCTATAGGCTTTGGGGACCCGGAATGTATAGTCTGACCTTCGCGCTCATAATCATAATGCCGCACTTGTAAGAGGAAATCTATTCGCATTCACTTGCAACAAAAACCTCTGGTCAGCCGGTCCCTGTAGGAAGGACGCAATCTATTGTATTGCAACAGCTCATTTATGTCCTTCGCCAAAGGCCCCAAGGAGATCTGATCTGGCCCCAGAAACAGGATTATCAGAGTGTACATTAAAGGAAGCAACATATATACCCTGCAGGAACGGAAGCGGCTGGGGTAGCAAAAGCCACCCATAGGCGACCCCGGGGGAGGAAAAAAAAGGGGCAGCGTTGACAAGGTCGCTCCGGTAAGCAACCCAGGCCGGCCTGCCGCAGGTCGAGGAGAAAGCCTGCGTGGGAGAGCCCGAATCCCGGCAAGGGGGATCCCCTCGGAATGGGGTTTGGGGGAGCGTGGCAGGGAAACGAGGCCAACTGACCCAAATATCTAATAATATCTACCTATAAAACACACGCCTATAAACATCTGGGCCCGAATATATAAAGACACCACACACACACGCGCGCGCGCACACACACACACACACACACACACACACACACACACCAAACTTTAAACTCTGCAAACGTTCAAATATTCGGTCCATGCAAATAACAGTTTTATTATTAATATATTTCGTTTTAAGGGGCNCTCCTTCCCTCCGACCTCCTCCTCCTCCTCCTCCCCCACTGTAGGTCCCCGAACGAGGAAGCTGAAGAAGAAGAAGAACGAGAAGGAGGACAAGCGGCCGCGCACGGCCTTCACCGCCGAGCAGCTGCAGAGACTCAAGGCGGAGTTCCAGGCCAACCGCTACATCACCGAGCAGCGGCGGCAGACGTTGGCTCAGGAGCTGAGCCTCAACGAGTCCCAGATCAAAATCTGGTTTCAGAACAAGCGGGCCAAGATCAAGAAAGCCACCGGCATCAAGAACGGCCTGGCCCTTCACCTCATGGCCCAAGGACTGTACAATCATTCCACCACCACCGTGCAGGACAAAGAGGACAGCGAGTGAGGCCGGACCGACCCAGCTGTCCCCCCGCGGACTGCCCACCTCCCGTCCCCTCCGCCCCCCCGTCCCCGTTGGCTCCTTTTCGTTCCGTTCGTTTTCATTCTTCCTAAGATTATTATTATTATAATTATTATTATAATTATTATAATTAAAATATTATTATTATTATTATTACGAACCTGAGTGGCAGGGAAGACAAAGAAACTCCGCTTGGGCGAAGCTAAGCGAAAACAAAACCCGGCCAGGACTGAGGAAGGCCGGCGCGGGGACTCGGACGAGGGGTTCTGTTTTCAAGAAAACGAATCAAAATTTTATGGTTTTATTATCCGCAGTTTTGAGGATTCCAACATTAAATTCCGAACACTTTAAAAACAAAAGTCTATATAGCCAAACATCGTATGAGCTTGTATATATTTAATTTCAGGTAAGAAAATCAATTATGGGGAAAAAAAAGTGTAGTTCTTTTTTAAAAAAAAATATTTTCCCCTTTTCGCTCAGCTACTGAGCGCCTCCCCTCTCCCGTCTCTCCAAAGCTGTTGGGTCTTTATTTTTCTTATGTGTTTCCTTAATTATTAATCTCCCTTCTTCCCCGCAGCCTCTAGTCCTGTCAGCATCTTAGTTTTGAAGTGTTTGTCTGGCTCCTCTTCCTCTCCCCCCTCTCCGATTGTTTTTCTGTCTCCCTTCCCCGCGTTCTGGTGTGTGCCTCGGCCGATCTTGAGTTCGTGTGTGTGCGCGTCCCTCCCGAGGAACACCGGTGACCCCCACAGACTGCCAGACTGAACCCTTGCTGCAAGCCAAAGATTTTTTTCTGTAGTCTGAAATAAAACGTAGATTGTGTTCAGGATGTACGTCGGTTCTGTAATCCTTTCTCTTCCCCCAGCCCTCCCCACTTATATATAGAATAGAACACATACATGGAAACACCCCACACTGCTTAATATATACATATATTCCTCTCGGTCTGCTTGGTAAATATTTCTTCTTTTAAAAAGAGGCAATCAATATTTCATTAAAACTCTTGTTTTCTTTGCTTTATTCGCTCTCATCTCTCCCCCTCCTTTTCCTTCTGGGGAAAGCCAATTAAACCGAACGTGTTAATAGGCGACTAGTTTACTTCTTTGAGGTAAACTAGATGGAGGTTTGGAACTAAATCTTATTGAGATTTTTTTGAATTTGCTCCCCACCACCACCACCCCGTGCCCCCTCCCAATGTGCACAAGACCGGGCCAACCCCTCAGCCCCAAGTCCTGTTCCTCCTCGTCCTTGTCAGGATTAGTAAACCTAAATTCATTTGTTCAGTGGAACTCGAGCTGGCCAGGTCTAACTTTATGTACAATTTGGAAGAGCCCCCAGTTGAGGTCAAGAATTGGACTTACAGGTCTCGGGGATTGCAATGCTATATGAAAACCTTCGTGTGTGTGTGCTTGTGTGCATGTGTGTCACTAATAATGACACACATTTTATGGCCCTTTCCAGTTCTAGGATGAGTTAGAAAGAAAATTTGAGAGCTCCCTGCCTTGTATTCGAGATCATATTGGATTTCTACCGAGCGCCTTTGGGAGAGAGCTGTGTGTGTGTGTGTGTGTGTGTGTGTGTGTGTGTGTGTGTGTATAGGAGAGAGTGAGAATGTGTGTGTGGGGGGGTGAGTGAACAAGAGAATGGGAATGATCAGTACTTTGCAGACAGTTGCTTAGCAGCACAGCATAATGAATGGAGTGGCGAGGGAAGAGATTGTTTTCCTTCCTTGGCCTTCTTGAAGCAGCCACAGCAGTGATGATGATCGTGATGATGAGGACTATTACTATTAGACTCTTTTATTCCTCTCTTTATTTCTTCCATTTTCACTTGCGGGGTGAATGCTCCGGTGAATAAAACCTGGTCCTCCAACAGTCCGGTCTGATTAGAACAAAAATGCTGTTTAATTTACTTGGGAGACCTCACCATCTTAGGAGTTCAGGATTAATGGGGTGGCACTTCCCTGAAATTGCTCAGTGTCTTAGAAGCATGTAGGCTTCGTTTGAAAACCAAAGGCCATTTTTTTCCTTCCTTCCTTCCTTCCTTCCTTCCTTCCTTCCTTCCTTCCTTCCTTCCTTCCTTCCTTCCTTCCTTCCTTCCTGAAATGTACAGGGCACTTAATGCTCCAGGTAGAACACCTGCGTTGTATGCTCTCTGTCACATGTGCGATCCTTAGTAGGACTGGTGAAACATCACAAAAGACAATCAGCAGCCAATATAAATAATATCAAGCCAGATAGATCAATGGATCAATTCTAGGCAAGGCAGAGGTCCTGTATTTTTCAGCCCCCTGATTTTACTGGGGATTGCTGTAAAACAAATATGGCTGCATCTGGTGACCATTTTTCATAATTGATTCTTGCTCTTTTTAGGAAAGGGTGTGTGTGAGAGAGTGTAATAGCAGCAAACTAGAAGTGAGATTAATCATAGCCATTTTGCTTGGTGCATGCATGTACTTTTTTTTTAAAAAAATAATCTGATTGAGATAGAATTATACTTCATTTCTAAAACCAACCAGTCAATGCTGATCCTTTACCTGAATTATAGAAAATCTAAAAGAAAAAATTAGAGAGCAGGGACGTGTGGGGGGGGGGGGGGGGGGGGCTTGATTAAAAATTTTATACTGCTTTCAATGGGATTGTTGGCTTACTCCCCCCACCCCTTGAAATCTAAAGTTTCAATGGAAGCTTAAAAGAAATTTCTTTGGGTCTGTGACTTGTCAAGGATAAGTCTATATGGTTGTTCGGTGTAACTTGGTTCAGCTGAAATCTCCGATCAGGATGCGTCCTATCTTCGAGAAAGGAGATTGTGTGAGGCTGTTCTAGTCAGGTACCTAGTTAGATATCCAGTCGCACCCGTGAAATTTTTAGCTGTCTGGTAAACCGGTTTAGGATTTCGAGCTGTATTAGTTGATCTGCTTTGGTGTACTTCGGTTTACAGATCCACTCGCTGTTGTGAAGGATCAGCAAACCTCTTGAATACCCAGCCTAATGGTTAAGAACCTTGGGGGAAGTGTGCTTTCGTCAGTATACATTTCCCCGATAATTTTAACCCACCCGCAAAATCTCTGCTGCCCTTCATTAATTTAAAGTGCCAGAGCGCTTCGAACAAAGCCCTACAACTGATAGGGCTTGTAAAATATAGGTACAGATCATTTTATGCACCTACTCTGGATCGATCCCATGTCAAGCGATCCTAACAGTGAAATTAACTGCCTAGAAACTATTAATATAAAACCAGACTGCATGGTGCATTATTAGAAAGGGAAGGAAAAAAAAAACCACAATTCAACACTCCCCCACCCTCCTAAAACCGCGCCAAACTTCGGAGCTAGGGCTGCAAGGAGACGTTTGCAGTCAGTCAGTAATTGATGAGCTTATAAAATCTCCTGCCAATGGAACCAACCATGTACCCCTTGGAATTATGATCTCGGGTTGTTTTTAATAGTGTGCTTCTCCTACATTCTCCCCCCTCCCCCGCTCCAAAGTGGCCTACAAGCCTCATGAGCCAATTTATCTTCCAGCGGTAACCCTGCAAAGTTGGATAGAGGCTGGTTATTGGTCTAAAAAGTCAGGTATATTTATGACTCACAGGTGGGGACTTAGCTCCACTTTTCCCAGACCACCTAGAATACTTCTCCCCCTCTCGCCCCAGGCCAATGTCCAGTGGATTTTCATTTCAAGAATTTCTGGCTACAAAATGGGGGGGGGGGAAGAGGAGGGAAATGCATTTTATAAATAAATACATATTGTATGAAAAGCTACAGCACTTGCCCCGCACAGATCTCTCCTATGGTCTGATCCACTGGAATTAAAACGGGGGTTTCTAAATGTCCTGGAAACAAAACAAATGCACTCCCTTCTAGAAACGTGCAACCAGCCACCCATTGGATTGCCCAAAACTCCCTTTTTCTGGGTTTCTTTTAAACCAATTTTTTGCACCTATTTATTTTGGGGTTTCCACTTTTCCTATTGCCAAATCATCATAGGAGAGAAAAATCTAGCCCTGTGTAATCCAAAGTAACCCTCTCGTGCCCCTTCAGCTGTCTCTCCTTAGATCTCATCCTAATGGAGACAGTAGGATTTATTCCAGATTGAACAGCATACGCTCCTCTGCTGGGACTGGTCTCCTTCCTCCCAGCACTTTTATCAAGAGAGAAGCAGGATGGGGAGAACAATATGCATTTCTGAGGGATCCTTGGTGCTTTTCTTGGTGCTTGTTTTCTTGCGGACGTTTCATCACACAAACTAGGTAACATCACCAGTGCCAGTGAGTAGTGACTAGCACTGATGGTGTTACCTAGTTTGGCTCCTGAAATGTCCACAAGAAAACAAGCAAGCTCAGAGAAGCACCAAACACCCCTCATGTCAACCCTGACCTACAAATATTCTCCTCTATCAATATAAATGGAATGGAATAGGAATAGGAATAAAATAAAATAGAATAGGAATAGGAATAAAATAGAATAGAATAGACATAGGAATAGGGATAGGGATAGGGATAGGGATAGGGATAGGGATAGGGATAGGGATAGGGATAGGGATAGGGA